ACCAAACCACCAAACCACCAACCCACCAACCCACCATCCAGACCAACAAACAAACCATGCAACCAAAAAGACAATCGTAAGCATGTGATCGATCAGCGGCACAACCAAATTTTGTTGTTCCTGCAGATAAAAGATCTACTCTTAAATCATCCTTACGACATCCTTACCTTTRCAACACCAACAAGAGACTAATCAAACGAGAAAACAGTCATAAAGAGTATATCATCGAGTACGCCTTGGTTGCCGATGAAGCAGTGAAAGCAATGCATGGCAACAGCGACACTAACACTGCAACGTACCTTTTATTGATTGCAAACATTGTGAGGATTACTTACATTTATTTTTCATGGAGTATAGCTCTTTGTATTGCCTGTGCTATGTCTATCTATCTGTCTGTCTACCTGTGCACTTTTCATCTATACTGCATGGTCTTTTATTAAAACTTCATTTTAATAGATGAACAGCCTCTTTCATGATGACAGCATCGGCGAGAAGAAAGTATCAGTTATTGTTACCAAAATACGCACCGTGACCAACTCTGAGGTATAATAAAATGTCAAGGCTTTTCGTTTATATTTTTATGCCAAAGCTTCCGTTTCTGCTAGGAAAAGCCGGTAGTGTGATGAGAGGGGGGTGTTGCTATTTTAATTTGAGGATGGTTAATGGAAGGGGTAGCAGTTTTTTTAGGGGGAGAGGAGATGTGAGTGCGGGGGTATAGSTTGATTTAATTAGAAGCAACTCTTCACTGCGTTTTTTATTCTTTTCAGTTGTACGTTAATCAAAGTGATGACGCATACACAAAACTTTCAGGATTGGCATTGTGGACTGAGAAAACATATCCCAAAGACAGCGAAGTTCCGTTTGATGCAATATCACTCGTCCATAGGTAAGGGAGTTATAACGTAATGCCCCTTAAGACCAGTATTTGACTAAACTGATCCTCTATGCTGCCATTGGTGATTTTATGGATTGTTTTCTTTCGTCAACAGCGGTGGAAGTCGTGTAGGTGAGCTCATATTCATATGTTTACGTATACTAACTACTGATAGCACCAAATAAACGGTACGTATTTAGTGTATAAAATAACGTTGCTTTCCTTTAGGATTGGCATTTCTGGGCGCCCTGTGTAAAAGTCGGATAGCCTTTTCTATGTCGGCTGATAGCGGACTTAAAACTGCGTTTAAACTAACTCATGAGATTGCACACAAGTGAGTTATATATCAGTCTTTTTATTTAACTAATAAACATTTGTTTATRCATATGCATGTCATCATTATATCACCAATACAATGGGTTAATTAATCACTAATTAATTATTCATTCCTCGATCATTCATATAATAGTCCTCCATTTTACAGTTCCGTGCCCCATCTTGAAAGGTAGCCAAGCCTTTACATCAAAGCGAGACAYGAGTTGAGCCTGCAGTGATAGATTCCTTTTGACACCTGAGACAATTACTCACAGGTATCCATCAATCAGATCAATGCAAACTCAGTTGCTGTCTCGCTTTGATGCGACGGCTTGGTTACCTTTCATGATGGCGACGGGAACTTTAAAATGGAGTTTTCATATTATTTAATTCATTGATAATTTGTGCTTCTTTAGCATGGGTGTTGGTCATGATGATACAGCACATTGTGGGTCTGGTTACATTATGGATGACAGCATCGCAGGTCAAAAAAACTTTAGATGGTCCACCTGTAGCAAAAACGCAATTCAAAAATACTTAAGGTAAGAAGGTTGGTTGTTGATTGGTCGCTCGGTGAATATGATCTGTCAATCAATAATGACGATGATTATAACTAGATTACTAACACATRTTATCTCGCTAGTGGTCCCTGGTCTTCTTGCTTATTAAATGCACCCACTGATGACCGTCCAGTRCAATCTGCCGCCAAGATGGCTTCACTGCCAGGAGTTTTAGTGGATGGTGATAAGCAATGTCAATATCAATTTGGTAGTTCATACAGACGTTGCTCGCAGCGTTTCGTAAGTAAAACGTTTATTATCGTTAACTTTCATGAGTATATTTACCTAATCAGTCTATAACCGATCTTTAAAATCTTGCCCAACTAATAAAACATGCATGCGACTTGAGGAAATGGTCACTTCCCGTTTCGTTTGTGTAAAATGGTCTAAAGTGTCATGTGTGTTTTAGAGGGGAAATGACAAAGCATTTTTAAAATTATAAATTGACATTATGGATATCAGAGAATGTCCACGTGCAGATAGGGGAGAACGGTGAGCGGCGATTGTCTTAGGGAGATTGCACGACCYAAAAGGACTATGGTTACGCTGTTTGACATACAAAAAATTCAATTGTTGGATTTACTTGCGTGAAAATGGAGACTAAATGGAGCCAATGATGACCATAGAATATCTTATGGTAAAAATCAGTTATTATTTCCCATCGATTAGCAAAACCCATGGCTCCTTTCGGTGATGCAATCGCCGTTTGACAATTGTCATTCGCCTTTTTATCCGACAACCTTTTTTGAAATAGGTATATATGTCAAAAGCATTGGAACATTGGAAATGTCTCTTTGGTAGTCAACTTTTTCAAAATCGGCCGTATTTACTAATGAAAATTCAAAAATATATTAACGGCATTTTCTTTTTATAATTAATGTAACCTTTATGAGGTTGACATTTTCTTCAAATATGTTGACATGTCTTGCAGGATACCTGTACAAGTCTGTTGTGCACTGATAACGGCCTTGTCTGCCATAGCTACGCGGCTCCACCAATGGACGGAACAGCATGTGGAGATAGAGATGTAAGATTCACCATATCACCATCGTTCTTAAACTTTAGTGCGTAACGATTTGATATGACAAACTAGAAATGCAAACGAAATGACACTCGCTAAAAGCGACACGATATAAACAAAGTGAAAAGTGAAGGATTAATGTATTCATTCTTTCAACAATCAGTGTATCTGAACTCGGTAAAACACAGTCATAAGCCCCAGATCACATGTTATACTCAAACAGATCATAACAATAATGACATATATCTTGATTGTCRTKAGTGGTGTATCAAGGGTATTTGTGTTGATAATGGTTCTCCAAGAATCCATGGAGGCTGGTCTGCATGGTCTGACGATTTCTCCGAGTGTAGCCAAACCTGCGGTGGAGGTGTTCAGTACAGGACAAGAACCTGTAATAATCCCGCGTGAGTTTCTTACATTGTCAAGTAGTTGCTTGTCTCGCTATTCAGGTAACTCTTTCTCGGTTGTTTTATTGTTAGCCCTAAGAATGGTGGGGATCTGTGTGAAGGTCAAGTTGATYCAAAAGATGCAGATCGAGGACTTTGGAGAATATGTAATATTCAGGTATTAAAACTATAATAATAAAAAATAGAACTGATAAGGGCATTAAAAGCTTTCCTTGTGTTTAAGATAGTCCGAGAGGCGGACTTAAGAATTAGAACTGATTCCAAATAGCCCTCCCAATTAAGAAATTCATTTCCTGAAGCCCATCGTAGTCCTCTAATCTTCAAACGAAGGTTCTCCAACCTCTTTCTTCTTTTATCTTCAGGATTGTCCAGAAGGCTCTATTTCGTACCGTGACGTMCAATGCGCAGCAAAAAAYCCCSGTTCTGTGGGACACATCCATGCAGGTTAGAATCTACAGTTATATCATATATAGAATGGACTTGGCTAAGCGAGCTTACTGATTCCTTACTGAWTTCTTTATAGAGCTACCATGTACATTGAAATGCATAATAGGCAACTTTCTCTATACATATGGCACCGTTAAAGATGGGACAAGATGCAGTGACGACGCACGTAAACATGACGTCTGCATTGYGGGAATATGCACTGTAAAAACTAAGCCATGCATTTAGGGACGATCCATTAGAATTTCGATGGGGGGACGGTGGGGAGGGTTGGAAGATTTTGTCCGTCCAAGAATTTTTTTTAGGACTTCATGTGCCCGCTTGTAATTGTTTTGTAAATTTACACAAGCTTTAGTGCATAATTTTCAAAATTTTGCTTTGCAGGATTTCTTTTTCGGCCCTTCCTTCCGTGCAGGTTTTTTTTTCAAAATCATCCAATCCCCCCTCAAAATTATAATGGATCGCCACTAAATTGTATACACGTTGACTAAATTGTTAATATAACTAGACAATCATCAACGCATGGAAATATAGTTAAATCGTTATTACATTGTGATTTCAGACTGTTGGATGTGATAACATACTMSGRTCTAATGCAGAGTTTGATCGATGTGGTCAGTGTACCGGCAATGGTTCCTCATGTAAAACCGAAAGGGGAGCATATCTTAAACACTTCAGAGAATATGGTGAGATCTCCTATAAATGTCCTACCAATTAGAAGAACAATATTATACGATAACTGAGAGACTTATGATTTTGTGTCTGTGAAGTATTTGTAATGTAATAGCCTGCCTAATTGTATAATATCAGTGTTTCGCTCTTCCTGTAATTCAGTGTTTTTCTCCCTCGGCACTGCGATAGGATTGAAATAAAGATATTATCATATTATCATTGAAGGATAAATTAAATATGAATGCATGAATTTTTGACAAAATGATGTTGATTATGCTTCCTAAATTATAACAATAAATGAATTGTCCCTCCATTCATCCAACCATCCATCAATATAAATCTTTCCATGCATTTTTAACATTATTGT